CCCTCTTTTCTTACATTGAGTCAAAGAGGTAAACAATTTCCCTAGTTTTGGTTGTAATAACAATTGTTCATGTTGCTTTTTAATATGTACTTCTTGTAGACAAATTATATCAAACTTTAGTTTCTTTAATTTATGGAAAATCTTCCTTCTCTTAGCAGCTGAATTCAGTCCATTTATATTCATTGTAATCAGTTTTTTCTCTTCCATGATTATATTTTATATTTAGATTTAACCACTCTCGTGGGTCTTAATTCACGCTGATCTTTAATATCTACTTGTCCGCCTACTGCACCTTCTTCTTTTCCAATCTCCACTTGTTCCTCTTGGGATTCAGTTAATGGGACCTCCTTTTCTGCCTCTCCTTCTCTCTCTCCAAAGACTTCTGCGTAGAACAGTTCTGCTTTCTCGATTGAATCAATTCTATGCCTCTGTTCCTGCCACGTAAACATCAATCCTTCTGGGATCAGCCATCTGTAAGACACCTCCTTTTTCAATAACATTTTGGTCAGGAATCGATATTCTCTTCTCATCTCTCTCACTCTTCTAGGTATTTGTTTTAAAACCAAGATTTCTTTACCTTTGTATTTCAATATCTTCTCTCTTGCCACTTGTAAAATTTGTGTCTTCATGGATTTTTTAGTAAATCTAATATGGACTTCTCTGGGCAGATTATTTCTCATCGCATATCTTGTAAAAACTCGATATATCTCATCTATTCCATCCATCATCTTCTCTTCTGTTATCTCCAACGCATCCGCCAAGATTCCTACCATTATCGCAGCTAAATCTTGTCCTTTTTCTTCTTCTATATTTTGAAATCTAAGATAGAATTCTGATCTATCCAACTCCCACTTCAACATCCCACTTTTTTCTTGTTCAATCACTGTTAGTCTATTATCAATATTTCCAATCTTCTCCTCTCTTCGTTTGTCCCCTTCTTCGACTTTTTGAAGTCTCTCCTCATATTTTGTCATCATCTGTTGAATACTTTCCACTTTTTCCTCCGTCCTCCCTGTTCTTTGTTCAATGGTATCTATTTTTACCTTAAGATCTTAAATTCCTTGCATAATCATCTGAAAAGATGCTCTTTCTTGTTCTTTTCTTTATCTTACTTTAACATTGTCTGAATTGAACGCTGTCCAGATGGTGGGGAGGCAGAGGTAGACATAGAAGCACCCGAAGATATAAATTTCTTACTCATTTTAAATGGTTCCAGCTCTTCAAATTCTTTCAAATTTTAATCCAAAAAGCGTAGCCAATTATAATCCAAAATGAAAAGGCCAATAATAAAAAAAGAATCAATAATGAGAAAAAAAGAAGAAAAACATGAAAAAGAAAAAGGAAAAGAGCAAAAAGAAAAAATTCTTCAAATTCTTCCTGACCTTAATCCAATTAAAAAAAAAATAGTCCACAAAAGAGCATAAAAATAAAAATAAAAACCCAGTAGAACAATAAACAAAGTCAAAGCCAAAAAGAAGGAAAAGAGAAAAAGAGGGGAAAAACAAAACAAAAAACAAGAGGAATAAATTTCTTCAAATTCCACACCTTAATCCAGCAAAAAAGAAAGAAAAAAACCTAAATTGAAAAAAGAAAAAAGAAATAGTCCATTGATATGCATTAAAAAAGAAAAAGCAGAATCCAAATAGAAAGGAGGAAAAATAAAGTAAAATAAGTCAAAATAAAGTAAAAATAGAAAAAATTCAGAGGCTTCCCTTTGAAAATAAATCAAACTTAAAAATAAAAATAAAGACCTTAATGCTGGTGGAGGGGGTGGCGGAACTAAAAAAAAGAATTAGAGAAAGAAAGTAAACAGCAATACACTGCACTCTATTTAATTGTCCAAGGCTCTAATTATGACTCCCTTCTCTTTCCCACAAGCTTCAAAGCTAAGCCATAAATATCCAGAAAGACACCTGTAATAATATTCTACAAAGCGCTTTCCTCTATCTTATCAGAAGATGTCCTTGGGGAGAAGTATTTCGTCTTTTCACAGTTCAAATAAAATGTTTCCAAGCCTCTAGTTGGCAGTGTTACAAAGTTTCTTAGTTCTCACTTTCCCCCCTCCTCTCTGAACAGCATAAAAAAGAAGAAAAGCCAGCAAGGAATACACAAACATATAAAAGCAAAAAAAAATAAAAATAAAAATAAACAAAGGGAGCCTCTAGCCTAAAAATGAAAAATCCAAAGGAAGAATACAACATATAAATATAAAAAGGAACAGTCCAGTTATCCCGCAAATAACAATGAAGTCCGGAAGCAAAAAAAAAAAAGCAAATAAATTCTCTCTTTGACGTCTCCCTTAAAAAAAAAATGCCGCTTACTCAGTTTTGTCAAAAAAAAAAAATCACACAGATTTCTATTAAACAGAGCGAACTTTCCAAACTCAAAAAAATTAAATAAAAAAAAGTTTCTCACCCAACCGACAAACTCTCTCTCAGACCCGTTCTTTCTGGAGCCGCCCCGACTTCAGCAGCATGGGGGCTGCCTCTCCGCCGCCAGCAAAAAGAGCTTCACCCGGGTCTTCCAGGGATTTTGCGATATCCCCGGAGTCCTCAGGGTACGCTCTTCACGGGACAGCATAGGTCCGTTTGGAGCTCGATTGCAGACCGTATCGTCATGGCGCAAGCTCCTCCCTTCTCCCAAAAAGATTTTAATTTTTAAATGTCAGTGTTTAGAAACCTAATGTTCCCTTGGCTTTAATTTTTAAAGTTAGTTACCTTCTGCTGTCAACGTGGGTATTTCTGATTTCCATCTGCTATCTCTGTAGGGAAGGAAAGTGAGGAGAAAAATTTTTTCCCTTTCCCTTTCAACCGCAGCTTTATGATCTTCTGGGAAACAATGTATCACTTAAAGAGCCAAAGTTCCAGGGTATTCAAATGTTGCTTGTTGTCCTGGTTCAGCCAAAAACTTTCACTTTCTCAACTTCCTCCTGCACAAAACCTGTCCAGCTCAGAGGTTGTTTGTGGCAGTCATTGCTGACTGCCCCTCCACTGCCTTTGGAAAAGGGAGTTAAGCTGGCTGAGGAAGGGGGTTGCAATGCTCCCAGACCCCTGCCCTGATCTCCCCTCTCTTCAGTTATCCCTACAGGATAACTAATAGCCTCCAAATCCAGCTGGATCGGAGGCACTCCAGCAGCGAGTGTGGCAGGGATCATGCACAAACCCGAATTCCTGCCACCTCTGAAGCCTGACAAACCGGAATTCCCCATTAGGAAGTACTTTTGTTGTACACCTGGATATGGTACTGCCTGCATTGACCCCGATACGAAGTGCCCCACCAATGCCGAGGTCAACATCCAAGCCATCACCACCCACCCAAAGATGCAAGGGGGGGAATTAAGTCACCCCCGAAAAGACGGCCTAGACATTTTTTCAGGGCTCAAAAAAAAAAAAAAAGACCCAGCCTTATTATATGAGAAACACGTTATTACTGGGAAAGGTGTTAATTGGATGGATGTCTATTCAACAGAAACATCTAAGTTTGTCAACAATGGAGGCTGAATTCTCATGTTTATCTTTATTATGTACAGATTGAGTTTATTGAGCAACTATTAATTGATATGGGAATTCATGTAACATATTCTATTGTTGTTTATGAAGACAACCAATCAGCAACACAGATGGCTTCAAATCTTGCTGTTAAGACAAGATCAAAACACACAGATTTAAGATATTTAAATGTGAGACAATGTGTGCACAGTAAGATGATTAAGCTGGAATACTGTACATTAGAAAATAACATTGCAGATCATTTTACAAAAGCCCTAGGCTCTGTAAAGCATAGGGCTTGCTGTGAGGATTATGGACTTAGAATGTAAGGTTGTATATATTGTCCTACCCAAAGGGGAGCATGTTAGGAATGTAAGTCAACCTAGCAGTTGGGTTTGAAAGTATATAAACCAGGATAGACATTTTAATACTGTCTCTTTAACGGAATGCTAAAATGGTAATTGGGTGTGGTTCTTCAAATGGTCATAAAATGGAGCCAAAAACCTGGGTTGTTCTGTTGTTCTGGAGAGTGTTGCCATTCCTATTTACTGTTGTTGATCATAGTTGGATTTGAGGTAAGTCTGTTACTGCAGTGGTCCCCAACCTTTTTTGTGCCACGGCCCGGTACTGGCATCACAAAATGATTTGCGGCCCGGTATCGGCATCAGCACACATGACAAGTCAAGGTGAGCCGAGCAACTGGCCAGCCAGCCATCCCTCGCTTCTCCCCGCCACCTTCAACTCCTCCTTTGTACCTTTGTCAATGGGCTTTGCTTTGGGATGGCCGCTTGGCTCGCCTTGCCTTGGGTGCTGCAAGAATCCTCGCACCTTAGTTTCATTCGAAGCCCCCCCCTTCAATGAAACTAAGGCGCGAGGATTCCTTCAGGACCCAAACACCACTTTCCAACCGGAAAAGCTCACCCAGAAGCACTTTCTCGTCAAACAAGATGGCGGCGCCCAGCAAACCGGCGGCCCGGTAGAAAATGGTCCACAGACCGGTACCAGTCCGCAGCCCGGTGGTTGGGGACCCCTGTGTTACTGAACTGTTTTTGATACTGGACTTTGATATTTGGATTATCCCTGGACTGAAAACTGACTGCTTTAACTGTTAATGACTTGGACTGCTTATTTGAACTTTGTTTAACCATTTACTGGAAGTAAAAACCTACATTTTTCTGTGCAGTGTATCTATGTTCTGGTTGTGTGTTATTCTTTACCACTCTCACTACCTCTCCCTGTGTGTGCTCATTCTCCTAACAGGAAATTAGCTCAACAAATCCCATGCAGGGGTAATTGTGTAAGTTGTCTGTGTGCTAAATTTGGTTGAAGTTTGCTTGGTGATGCAATGGATGGCTATTAAATTGCTCTGACTGAAGGAGATAGAACAGACTGGATGAAATAGATAAATTTAGTTTCCTTGGAAAATAAAAAATAATTCCCTTCCATAAAGGAGAAAAAATACAAACTCTGTTAAATATCTCCAATTTCAAAATATTCTATGCTTATCATCAGGTTCTTCCACTTTCTCGTTGCAATAACCCTTGTTTCCCTGGATCTCGGAAGAAAGGAATTGAGGGGGATCAGTTCTGCTGCTATGACTGTGTTCCATGTCCAGAAGGGAAGATTTCAGATAAGAATGGTAGGCTAGGAATTCTACTATCTTTATTAGTCTTAAGCAAATTTTAGTAAATTAATTGATTGCATGAAATTAATAGGGGGATATTCAATAAATGGAATACAAATAAAGGATAATCCTAGACATGACCAATTCCAAAAATGCCAGGGGATTTCTAGAAGCCTGGCACTATGACAAATCAGTCATCAAAAGACACAAAGACATTAAGAACATCTATAGACTATGCAAAAGACACATTCATCCGGCCCAAAAAGAGAACAAAGAGACCCCAGCAGCTCTCCACCAGTAATCAGTATTCAGGATCAGCATTCCTTAACTCCAAGGTTAAGTTCAGACCAGCAATCAAGTAAACAAAATCCCAATCAAGAAACTGCCAAAGAGCCATCAATAAAGAGCCCAACTAAAGAATCTCTAAGACTTTCTCCTCCCACACAGACAGGCAAGACAGTAGAATATAAACTGAGAGCAAACAGTATTCCTTACTAGCACTGATGATTTTGTTTATTTATTTGTTTGTTTATTTAATTTATATTGCCACCTAGTTGCACATGGTAACTCAAGGCAGCTTACAGAATATAAAATCTTATTTAAAACAATAAAAACAATAAAGATAAGATAAGATAAGATGATAAAATCCCCCTACCCTAGTGACAGCAGATCACATGAGCCATTTAATGGGCTCTATCCCACTCTGGGTTCCTCAGGCCTGCTGGCATAACCACGCCTCCAGAAGAGTATTAGAGTGGGAGCCATTCCAATCTCTTGGGAAATGATGTTCCAAAGAGAGAGAGCCACCACAGAGAAGGACTTTCTTCTGGGTCCCACCAGGAGTATCTCCCTAGGGGATGGGACCCACAGTATTCCCTAGCTAGGGTAATGAAATGTCTGCAGGGAAACAAGTAAGATCAGAGAGTACCAAGCACCCCTCAATAATATGAAATGCCAAGATGAAAAAAACATCCTTGATTTTCTTTCCAGATGTGGAAGGTTGTTTTGAATGTTCAGAAGATCATTATCCAAATAAAAAAAAGAATGGATGTATCCTGAAACTGCTGGTCTTTCTAACTTTTGAAGAACCCTTAGGAATTGGTTTAGCCTCAGCAGCTCTTTCTTTCTTCTTGTTGACATCATGGATACTTGGAATATTTATTAAGCACAGGAATACTCCCATTGTCAAAGCCAACAACCGGTCCATAAGCTACATCCTCCTCGTCTCTCTTCTGCTCTGTTTTCTCTCCTCTTTGTTCTTCCTCAGCCAGCCTGGCAAAGTGACCTGCCTTCTCCGACAATCAATGTTTGGCATCACCTTCTCAGTGGCCATTTCTAGTGTACTGGCCAAAACCATCACCGTGGTTGTTGCCTTCATGGCCACTAAACCAGGATCGCACATGAGGAGATGGGTGGGGAATAGATTGGCTTTTTGTATTGTCTTTTCCTGTTCTCTCTTCCAAGTGTGTCTTTGTATTCTTTGGTTGTTGACATCTCCCCCATTTCCTGAGTTGGACATGAAATCAGAGCTCCAAGAAATGATTTTACAGTGCAATGAAGGCTCAGCTTTCTTTTTTTATTGTTTTTTGGGCTACATGGGTATCATGGCTTTTGCCAGCTTTATTGTGGCTTTTTTTGCCCGTAAATTACCCCACAGCTTTAATGAAGCTAAGTTCATCACCTTCAGCATGTTGGCCTTTTGCAGTGTGTGGATCTCCTTCTTTCCAGCCTATCTGAGTGCAAAAGGAAAAGCCATGATAGTTGTGGAGATCTTCTCCATCTTATCCTCCAGCACTGCATTATTGGGATGCATATTTCTGCCAAAGTGCTACATCATTGTTTTGCGGCCAGACCTCAACCAAAGACAGCAACTCACAAAGAGAAATTAGCTCAGCACATGATATTACTGGCAAAGAGAAATTGCTGAAAAAAATAAATAGAAGGAATGCTATCTATAAGAAAAAAATATACAAAATTGTTGTATTTATTTTATATATATTTTTAAATAATGAATTACTTCCAACTATCCCCCTCTTTTTTGGCAAAACATTTTTCTAGGGAAAAAATTAAAAATTGATCTGATCAGGGAGACTCGATGGGTACTTTTAATTTTTCTGATGCAAAGGGGAAGGCATTGATAAGAGGCAGTAGAAAAGGATTCCTTCAGTGGTTCCCAAAAGAAGAGTGCTCAACCATTCCATGGCAAATGTTCTGGAAACAAATTTACAGGCAATTTTATTATGTCCTGAGGACCATGTCTTAATCCCATTACCCTGAAGCTGAAGGTGGGACAGGGAGCTGCAGGAAGCTGCTTTGTCTTTAAAAACACGTTTCTACTTTTCTCATCCAGAGAAATATAATATTCTGCCTTTTAATATTTTTTAGAATATTTCATTCTCCTAGGAGAGGAGTAGGTGCTAACTTTCTACAATATCCCCCCTTTTTGTCAAAATATGTGGGTCAAACATACATATTATTGGCAAAGGATTAAAAATTGATCAAATCAGGGAGTCTTGATTGGTGCTTTTAATGTTTTTGATGCAAATGGGAAAGCATTGATAGAGAAAATTCTTTGGATTCTTTCAGTGGCTTGCAAAAACTTTCAACCACAAAGGTCTAGCAGCCAGGGGAAAAGTTCTTAGAAAGAAATGTATAGTATTCAATTTTCCATGCCAATTATTTTCAGGTGTTTAATGCACTTTCTGTGATCTTACAGTCAGGTTTCAAGTAAGCACAAATCCCAAAGTTCTTCACATCCATGGTTTTCCTTTAAATTACAGGCTGCCCATTTCCAAGAGATGGTTACTAAACCTGCCCTAGCTCTTAGTTTCCAGGGTTTGTGAGGCCAGATTGAAGTCAGCCAATATGCAATCCAGGCTATTTAGTATTTTTGAAACTGCACACAATGAACCCTGGACACATACTCATGAGACCACCAGTGCAACACATCCTGCTTTACTTGGAAACTGGGCTGTATCATGTAAGTCACAGTCAGGACTTGGGGTTTGGAGAACTTTTTTCTGCTATTTCTTCAAGAGAAGAGATTGCCAGAGGGGGATACCCCCTCCCCCATAGGATTAGCAGGGTGATATGATTACTTGGTCCTTAGTGCCACAAAGCAAAAAAATGCACAAAAAGGAGCTAGGAGCAGCCAAAAAACTATGAGCAGCTTTGTGTGGGGGTAGGTGAAAATGATAACCTCTGTTTAATTCTGAATGTGTGCTTGTGTATGCAGCTATTTTTACAATACAAACATGCTGGATAATTTTCCCTCCCATCAGACAGAAGTACAAGGTGTTTAGAACTTGGTGTGGCAACCACTCTCAAATACAATCCTTACATGAGTATATTAAACTGATTAAAATATAAATGAAACAAAAAATTTCCACCCTCCCTCCATAATCTTTCCAGCTTCTTCTGGGGATTGAAAAGAGCCATTTAGTCTTTTACTGGTTTGTGTCAATTTACTTTCCTTCATATCTCTGGGTGGCATTAAGCTTGGCCTGGTGGTATGGGTAGTCAGTCAGGCTTGGGAAGGCCTGCTCTACTTTGGTTGCTGTGATGACTTTCTAATGGAGGGCTGGATCCAAACCCAATTACTGGCTCCAATGGATGAAATGTCTCCACATGTTGCAGAGCTGAAAGAAATAAGAACAAAGATTCCTCCCCCTTTTGTGGGTAATCCTCCCAGGAAAGGCATTGCTTGCAGGATAAGAGATGACAGAAGTGGAGTAGATAGCTTGCAGGTAGGGTTTGAGGAAAACAACAGCAACACATCAGTATTATAGTTACTAAAGAGATAAATCAGTTTCAACAAACTGGAAACAGATGAGAAAGGGAAAAAAAACTGGATTCACATGCTTCAGGAAAAGGATGGACAGATGAAATCATTTAAACACACAGTAAATGCAAGGATGAAACTTTTCCTGTAAAGTAACTTAAAACATTTGCTCATAATCCTGGGCTTTTCTTAAAAGCACAGAGAGGAAAGGAAACTGAACTTAGTGGTCTTTACTCTGTCTAGCTGGCCAAACTAATAGAATGAAGGCTTTTTTTCCCTTTCTCTTCAGTGCTCCCAATTCTTTTCCAACAATTTAAAGTTCATATCTTTAGGGATCCAGGACATTTAACAGTTACAATTACCTCAAGGACACTCAAAGACTTACACACACAAATACACACAAAGACCAGAAAAACAAAACAGAAAAGGGAAACAGAATTCTAAGGTTTTACACATACTGTTCATTCCCACCTTAAATCTCAGTTAAATTAGGGAATGCAAAAATCTTAACAAACATACCCCATGGTTGCATGGAAGACAGGAAGAGAAAAAAAAACCAAATCAAAAGAAGCAAAAGAAACACACACACACCCCAATATTCCTATTTATATATTTCCCTTTTCTTTTAAGTACCTTTATTTAGCCAAATTGGTTTTCCAGTTTTATCCCTGAGCAAAGCCCACTTCTAACACAACCTTTTTTCTTTTTCTTTTTTCATGCCCACCTGGACAGGCAACTGCCTTGTTTAGTCCCAGACACCGAGCAAGTCTTTCCGGTGAAAACCGGGAGTGATGTCACGGTGATACAAGTCACAAGAGAATGGAGCTCTCCATCCCTGCATTGGTGGTTTCTTGCTTTTGGGCTCTGAAAAAAGTCAAAAATGCCCTGGAGCGGTGGTTGAAGAAAAGGAGGGGCATTGTGTAAGGTTCCAGGGGAGAATGCACTCCCCTGTAGAGCCCTAGGGCTTTCTTTCCCCTCTGTGCCATGCCAGGAAGAAGAGGCAGCAAAAATGGCTCCCACGCAGCCAGAGACAGCTTCAACCTAAGAAAAGTGCTGGAGTGGAGCCAGTGAACAGTGTTTGGAACTAGGTGGGAAGAATCCTTTATATTTAAAGTGCAACTCCAAGAAAAAGAGTGACTCAGAAATTACTTTAAAGTTGTAGTGTCTCAGCACAGTGAGTAAAATTTCTAGATTTTTAAAATGGAAGTAAAAGGAGGAAAAAAGAAAATTTGCTAAAAATACAGAAAACTTGACTTTTTATTTGGACAAATGCTGGCTGTGGATAGGCATTGTAAATTGCTGGAACCACTTATATAAAAAGTTGATATATTTGCATTTTGGAGAAAATGGTAAAATCAAATAAGAAATAAGGAAGATAAAGTGAAAACTGATGCAAGGGCACTACCTGCTATCAAAGAAAGGCAAAATATATTCCCAAAACCTTGGTAAAGGCCTGGCTTTGGAAGACTCAAAAAGGAGAATAAGGAAAACTTTACCATTAAAAAGACCCCTGAAAGTTTCAATATAGACTGATTTTATTTTTGAATTATCTAGAACAGATTGACTAACTTGGGGATACAAAGACTCCTGGACATTGGACATTGGATTCTTTGTTTGAGAAGTGACTTTGGCTTGGATAAAAGGTTGTTGGATTATTGGACAAAAACAAATAAAGGAAACAAAACAAAGATGAATGGAATTTGGGAAGAAATCACATTGGATATTTAGAATATGAAGGAGACTTTGACAAGAAGATGTGAGGAGATATTAAATAAAACACAAAGCATGAACGTAGACCTGGAAATTAGGACACAAATAACAAAGAGAAACAGGATGTCCAGGAAGAGGAAGAGTTAATAGAAAGAGCAGTTTGAAAAGTACAACAGGCAAAACAACAAATAAAAAATAAATGATAAGATGGAGATAAAAATAAAAATGATAATGATTGATGATATAAACCAAGGGATAATATTTTAAGTGAAGTTAAACAGGAATTGGAATTGCAAGGAGAGAGACGGGGTAAACATAGATAACTTGAAAATGAGACAAGTAAACTGGGTAGAAAAGGGAGAAATGTCTGAGAGGATGGGACAAAAAGTGTTAGCATTTAGAGGTAAAGATCCATGAGAGGAATACAGGAGACAAGCTAAGAAATGAATAATCCAAGTTTTATTGTGAGTGAGAGATGATGGATAATTTAAAAAGGGCTAGAAATTAGAGAAAGGAGGATTAACCTCTATAACTGTCTGGTTTGGTTCTGCAACCCAACAGGACAGACACAGACTTCAGAGGATAATTAGGACTGCAGAAAAAACAATTACTACCCATCTGCCCTCATACTGCACAAGTCAAAAAGAGGGCTGTGAAAATATTTACAGACCCCTCACATCCCGGACATAAACTGTTTCAATTCCTTCCCTCAAAACGATGCTGTTTCAATTCCTTCCCTCAAAACACCAGAACAAGACACAAGAACAGTTTTTTTTTTCCTGAAAGCCATCACTCTGCTAAACAAATAATTCCTTCAACACTGTTCAACTATTTACAAAGTGTGCACTACTATTACTGTTAATCTTCTCATCACTCCTTATCACCCATCCCCTCCCACATGTGATTGTAGGACTGTAACTTTGTCGCTTGTATCCTTACAATTTATATTGACTGTGTACTAGTATGATTTGATTGTTGATTGTAGGCTATGACCATCATTAAGTGTTGCACGTTATGATTCTTGATTTTTAATGAATGTATCTTTTCTTTATGTATACTGAGAGTATTTACACCAAGACAAATTCCTTGTGTGTCTAATCACACTTGGCCAATAAAAGTATTTTATTCTATTTTGTTAAGGGAATATAATTTTTTCATTGTAAGGTGAATTAATAACAAGGGAATTTAGAATTTGAATGAGAGTAATTTTGAACATGTGATATGGAATAATTAAATAACAATACAATTTAACATAAATATGTGTATGATTAACCAATTTATATAAGATTGCTGTAATATATATGAATATTAACATTTTATTTGAAGGAAGAGGAATGACATCTAGAATTTGCTTGATATAAAAATAACAAAAATAATATATTGATACAAGATAATAAT